ATGACAGCTGGCACAGGCACTGCTGCAGTGCAGCTGGCAGCATGTTTGATCAGTAAAGTGATAACACTCCTCTGTATAGTGCTCTATTATGAACATGAGGTGGCCTGTGAAGCAATGGACGCAAAAGTGAAATGTCTCTTCTCTATATCAAGTCAGACTCACAGTTAATGTCTACAGCATTTAGATTTTGCTTCTAACTTTGAGTCTAATTTGTGACACAAAATGATTCAATCAAATACCCCACAGCACATTATGCCAATACAGCTATTTGACAATGTTATTAAATTAACTATTAAATACTTGACATTTAGATTTAACTGATTTAACTGTTGCCTCTAAAATAGCAAATCAGAGTCAGTGAGCCAAAAACGTCTTTGCAAGCTACTGCACACTGTGGGCAAAGACTCCCTGGCACAGCACCTTTCACCCTAGTCATTTGTCCTAGAACATGATGAGACTGGTTCAGAGCCATGTGTGGCTTTGATATGAACTGGCCCAGGATAGTCACTACACTTTAGTATATGGGTCAAACCTGACTCTTTTACGATAATGTGACATACCATTTTTATCTATGAGCTTGTCCAACAAGTCTGACCTGTGTATTATAACACATAATAAAGATAAATAGGTAACATTTTTAATAATCTATAAAATGTCTTTTCTGTCTCACTTCGACCTTGTTCATGCCTGGTACTGTGTGAGTAGGTCTGACCTTTCTTCTCTGGGTTATATAAGCCCCCAGTTATTGTATGTCTCAGTCTATTGACTCATGGCTGTGTGGATGAGACCTTTAGTTGGACTTTGCCACTCTCATTTTAGAACACTCCACTGCACCTGAATCAAGGCACCAAGGCCTTTCTACAGGGCATTAGCTGGGTCAACTTCTATGAGTATTAACAACATTGTCCTAATGAAAAACACAGGCACACACTATCTTAATGTTTCAGTTTAAATCCATACTGGATGAAATGAGCTTAGATCTAAGTGCTGCATTGTGCTGATGGGTTATATTACTTTTTTTTAATAAACTGATCTGTTAACAATGTAATAGGTTATCAGCAAAACTAATATTAATACAATAACAGTAGCTCTAGCTATAGTATATCTATGTCATGTAATAATAGCTTGATAGAGATGTTAAGTGCAGTTAGCCCTGTGTCTAAATAGTTTTTTTTTTTCCTGATTCAACAGAGATCAGAACAAATGTAGGTCTGCACTGCTATGGTTGGCATCAGTACTCATACAGACACAACATCTGCTGCTATGCTTAGGCCATCCCTGCATGCTTGGAGGACTGAACTGACAGAGGGGTCAGCGCAAGGCCACATGCAAGACAGCATTAGGTGAAAATCTAATGAAGACACAGTTGGTTGAAAACCAGCTTTGAGTGCACCCTGTTGCAAACTGCCCGGTGAAGTTCTGTATCCAGAGGATTAAATCTAAAACTATCTTTAGAAGAATGTATGAATGGGTCAGGGAAAATCCCGAGTTGGATTCTGCTTTGTTAAGAGGATTGCCCCCTTACACCAGTATCCTTGCACTGCTCACAGTGGGGTAGATGGGGTTATACAGCTACAACTGCCATACACACATCTTCTTAATTGCGGCCATGCAGGGATGAGATCAGATGTTGGCTGTCAGAGGGATCCAGTCTCTAGCTGCAAGGCTCTTCTTTCCCCTGTGGCTATTTGCCCCTGCCTAGTGCCCCCACTAAGCATCCTGGGTAATTTCCTAGCCTTGCTTATATAAAGTATACCTTTATTTCTATGAATTTATTTTGTTTGGGTATTCAAAGCTATAAAGCTAAACTTTATGTATGCTACTGGATGATGCACCTGCAAAACAATACTGCTGACTTGTCTTGGCTGGATTTGAAGCTGTCTACCTTAACAACCACTGGCTCTATAATATCTGTTAGCTTTACCTGCAACTAAACTGCCTGAAAAAAACATGGAAACTACTCTGTATTTACATTTCTGGTAGGCTTAATTAACTATGTCTTGTGTTCATTGAGTGGTCCAGTCCAACTGGACAGAACTTGTCTGTGGGAGCTAATGGTGATAATGTCAAGCACAGAGTAGACTGACACTGTCAGGTAAAAGAAAAAAAAAACATTGGATATGTTGGTTTTTATGCTATAACTTTGGTTCAATAATTGCATGGTCCTCTAAAGAACAATCTACTGAATTCCAATGGCATTAAAAACACAATTAGATCAACTCAGACACGTCTGACTTTGAGACTGTGTATTGATCTGTGGTCTCAGAGCTGTACATGGAGACAATGTGCTGACATGTGTGATCACATGACATCAATATGATTATGACGATAGAGAGAAAGCTTGTTTTTAACACAGATTTAAGCTACACCCTGAAACACTGTAACGGTTTTCTTCTTGTTTTTAAAATGATCTAAACGTCACTTGGCTCCTTCTGGTCATCTTTGTGGGTGTGAACAAGGGAGCTGTGTTGTACAGTGAGTGAGTCATCACATCCCACATGTAGCTTTGCATTTTGCAAAGCTGTTTATTTTTAAACAAACCATCTGTCATGAAAAATTAAATCTGGAACTTGGGCATTTAGGGTTAACACTAGTATTATTTTGTCTTGATATAAGGGAAATTGTGCCATGTGGTGACCTGTAAACACACACAGTTTTGTATGTGTGTCGAACCCTAAGTATCTGGCCGTGTTTCCCGCCATCTTATCTAGTGGGTACAGAGAATGAATAAAACAATGGGACATGGGTGTGGAAGATGAGTGCTAATGCCTGTAAGCCTGACTCGTATCCCACTTTCTCCTCCCACTGACTGGCTCTCTCTCCCTCTTCCCCTGCCCTTTGTTCTTGTTATCACCCATTTTTATCCAGCCTCATATGCTATCTCTCACTCCCCTTTTCTGTGCTTGATTTTTACTTCAGCCCATGTATTTATTTTCAAATATTTGTCATTATCATCCTTGCACAAAGACTCTCTTTCTGTGATTTTTTTTTTATCCCTCTCCTCCTCCTACGCATCTTGATTTCCTTTGGTTTGCATTCTCCCTTGTGCCCCCTCCTGTCTCTCCATGTAACTGCAAGTTGACAGAAAATGGCTGACATCTTTTTGGAGACTGGTTCATTCTCTCCTGCCTTCTTTCTCACTGCTATATTTCAGTTCAGTTTGTTATTCTTAGCTTGGTTGCTAAATGCTATTTGGATGCATAGCTTTGTCCATAAGTCCACTCCATCATGCACCTTTCTTTCTCCTCTCTCCTTTTGGCCAGAGAGACAGCCTCTCCTATCAACAGTACCTCCACTCTGTCACAAACTGGAGCTGTGAAAAGAGCTGAATACATCAGAGCATCATTCTCCTTCTCTCAGCCACATGACTGAGGCAGAAGTAGGGAGAAGCAGAGTGCTATCACACCATAGTCTGGCTTTTGTGTATGTATATATGAACCCAGAGGAACTGCTTCAGCTGCTGCTGAACTGACTTTACTTGCATAGTGAGTCACTACTAGGTCTGTGCTATGCTACACATATCAGACATACAAGGCATGGTTATATATTCAGTAATGTTTTCAAAATGTATATCTTTATTAATAGTCATCTCATCTTGTCTGATTGAAAGATGAGCTCTGTGGTTCCTAGAGTAGAGCCTTGGGCCTAATGTTATTCCTCTAGTCTGTCATGCATGTGCCTGCAAAAATAAAGAATATTGCTATTCCTACTGAAACAGTTGCATTGTGCCACATTGCATAGTCCCATAGATAAATAGTTAGTGTTTTATTTATATTTTAAAGTCAAGACAGAACCTTATAGTTGTCTTTGTATCTTTTTTGTTATATTTTCCAAAAATTATTTATATTAAGCATCTAATCTTTCAGACACTGCCTTTGTTTTAAACTTGCGTTTTAGTCATACACTCACATTCAGGACCTGATGTACAGCACTGTATACCACTCACTCATGATTTGGGCCATGGGAAATGTGAACTCTGTAAAAGTAAATATGGAACCAGTCGATGTCCAAATGGTTTTTTTCACAATATTAAAGGTCTTGGCTTGATGTGGTATGATAGGGTGTGGCAGGAGTGAGGGGAGCTGAAAGGTGAAGATGTATATGTTTTTCCATTTTCGTAGCTAGTTACATGACATGTATTATAAATAAGGTGATTGTTTTTGTCAAAAAAAAATTAATAAGTAAAAATCTAAGGTTGGGAAAGTTCTTGTAAATGATGCCACGGATGAGACTGTTTTTCTCTGCCTGAACTATAAAAGATGAAGTGTGGTCATTTGTACTTTGAGCTTTCTAGAGCAATGTGTTTGTGAAGGAATTCTCCCAGGCCTGAGAATAAATATATTCAGTTCTTCTTATAACCAGACAATGACACTCTGTCTCTCCATTGTATTTTCCTCAGGTGTTCAGCTCTCTTCCTCTAACACTCTTAACTGCATGAATGAATGCATTTCTTTGACTTATGGGATCTGAATTTGCAACAACATAAAACTGTGATGTAATTTTCATTGCAATCGTTTTCTTTGTACGTGACACTCATATACAGCCCAGGTCTCAGTGCATCCCTGTTGATGTGTCACATGATATTCTGCTGTGTTTAGGTATCAGTGAGTTAAACAGCAAATCAGGTATCACATGATGCACTGAACTGAATAGTTCATGCACATCAAATCCAATTCAACTTCTGTAGATACTGGGCTAGTTCATTTATACATCACATTACAGAAAATAAGGGATGAATTTGCTTAATGTGAAGAGCAAAGTGAAGCAAAAACAGCAAAAGAATTTAACAAAAACAGGATTATCAAAATGATGAGGGTTTTTATCTGCTTGTTTACAGACTACTAATTGGGGTCTTTGCGATAAGACTGGAGTATAATTGTTTCCAAAGCCCTTGTTTACTCCCTAACATTCATCTTAATCCTGATTGACTTTGCTTCGTCCTCTAACTGAGGAGTATTATGCTGTGCCGATGATGCTTCTTATGAAACCAGTATATAATGGATGAAATATCAGTAAAAACAGAGGACAGTATATATGTATACAGTACATTCCTGTAGAGTGTAATGTAACTCTGCAGTAAATATTACTTTTCTGAAACCATGTATTGTATGAAAAGTAATTATTAGTTGCGCCAGATGCTTTAAAAATCACACAACATTATCCCTGTTCCTTCAGGTGTTTAAAATAGCAAATCCCTGTCAGCGCATTCTTTCCACTCTGTCACTGCTGTTAGTATTCCCACTTGTTCTGGATTAAGCTTCTGTAAAGTGTATGAAGTGCTAATTTTACTATGTTGCTCCACTAATACAATTAGGTGGAGTCATTACAATGATGCCATGAAGAGCAGCTTTGAAAGGCAGCAGCACACAGAGTGAGTTAGGATGTCACTCGCCCTTAAATTCTACAATCTACACTAATGGCCAGGCTGATTTTCATTTCTTACTTGGTGTGCTATTGTGATTATTGTTATGAATTTACATCGACCTTGTCTGTGATAACTGAACATTTACTGTCACTGTGTCATTAGTGCTGTTAAAGTCATGTGCTTAAAACCCACTTTCTGTGATGTGACTTTTTTTTATAATTGTGTTGCCTCTTAAATCAATTTGTGGTCTTATCTGTTTGTTGTATCATTGACTGTTAGTGGCCACACATTCTAAGAAAATATTAAGCCCAGTGAGAGGGTTGTTGGTTCAACCTTAGGCCTTTAGAGCCTGCAGTTTGTGGCTCTGTTGACTTGCACTGCATTATATTGAGAGGTGTTTCTAATATTTAATCAGATAAGGTGGGCAGAATATTCAGAACACCTTTAAGAAAAACATTATACAGTTCAATAGAACCTCAAAAACACAGAAAAAAGATGAAGTTATGCCATAAAAAACTGAACATCATAAAGGTGGCATTGACTGCAGGGTTGTTAAATCAGTGTGCATCAGTTTCAGCCCAGTGTAGTTACTGAGCTGCCAACTGAGTGGATGCTCCCCTACCCATCTCTCTATTACACCTACACACACACACACACCAACCAACATATAGTCCCACACGCATACAAGATAAAATGCTAATTCATGTTGTACTTACAATGTTTCATCACTACAGTATAAGAAACTGATGATAGTTAAAGACGGTGTTTACTGTTCTCAGAATGACAGTGACTGAGCCCAAGCCTAGATGAATGGTAGGAAAGTCATTATTTTATAAATAGTTATCTTCATTTTCTGTGGAAAGTGGAGCAGCCTCACAAGACCAGTCGTTTCTAGCATCAGCCTCTCTGCAGACCAGCACTCTCCTCTATTATTAAGACTTTTTGTTTCTTTTTTTAGGAAATGGGCCAAGCCCTAGCACAGCAGGCCTGCACCTGCACTACACTCCACATAGAGCACTGCCTGCTGTATATTCAGTATTGCATGACTAATTAGAAAGAAGAAGAAGAGACATTACAGAATGCAGCATTGACATATATGAGTATAATGTGCTTATGCATGGAAAACATAAATGAGATAACAAAATATTGATAAACTACATTTTAGAGTTGCTGCTAGTCCCCAGCCCCACCCATGAAACTGATTTAAACTGCAGCAAGTGCATCATCAAATAGATTCAGTGTAATCTTCAGTCGTGGCTGATGGAGTTATCTCTCTGTCTTTACCTCTTTGTTTTGATATGAATCAGGCTGGTGCAGGTATTGTTAGATACATCCACACCGCCGTTCCCATCTGGGAAAGCTGACATTTTAATTTCCGCAGGCAGATGAAGTGTGTGGCAGACACCAAGGCTGCTGGTGTATCTGTACCACTGATACAAGTGTGTGAGTCTGTTAATATAATAAAAAGCTTTATGGCCAGGCCCGCCTCAAACATCAGTCTGTCTGTTCATGTGTAGACAACAAAGACATGGGTGAATAGGCTCCCTCTGATGGCAAAAAGTGGAAATGACTTGCCACTTCATTTGTGCTGTATGTGTGTCTGTGTGTCAATACATTCAGTTTTTGCCACTGTATGTGGTAGTGCATTGACTGGTGCTGTTATCCGGTTTCTGCATCAGTACTGATACACAGATAGAGGGTCCTACCCTGTTTTCCACTCTGTCTGCTTTGAGCCAAATAGAGTCTGTGCCCTCTTATCCAAATCCAGGTTATTTATGCCTGACTATAAAGATATGTTTTTAATCCTGCAAATATTGTTTGGTTGAGACTCTTTCTGTGTGTAAGTGAAAGACAGAGACCTATGAGAGATAGAGTGTGTGTGTATGCACAGTGAATGAGTGTGTGTCCTCTTTTATATTAAATGGATGAATGTGCACAATATAAAAAACATAAGCATGTTAGTGGAATCTAGTTCATATTTGTAATCTCATTTGTGTTTGCATGGTTGTGATTAGAGAAAGATAAATATCCTTGGCATACTGAGTGTTCATAAAGAGGGGTGCAGGGAGTGGCACTGACACGGGCTGCATCTGCGTCGCCATGGATACAAGAGGGGAGAGACAGTGAGTCAATGACGGGTGCTCCCTGTAAAAGCAGAGATGTATCGGACACTGGCTGTGTCCAATAAGAGTATCCATTACAGTCACGTTGATTCTAGCAGACCAATCAGATTTCTACCTTCACTGTTGCAAAGCTTCTTGTGCATCCTGTTTTACTGACTGTTTTAATTTATGGCCTCTTGTTGCAAAGAGAGCCATGGCGGTGTGCTATCACAGAATCCACTTTGTGTTCACCAGGTTAGTTTTTCATAGAGTGAGACACACGAGACATTATTACTGATCTATGATAAAATACATATGAATGAAACTGCACAGACACACATTGTAACTGTTTCACTCCCACCCTATTTCTCGCTCTCACACCTTCCTTACACACAGAAACACATGCTGCAATCCATGTTGTGCAGATCTTCACTACTAAGTGCTACAGATTCATTGTAGCAGGTTCAATAACACACTTTATTGACTTTGAGTTATTAGTGAAATTGTGATAGCATTTCTCCAATACGGATGAGGATGTGTTTGCTTTGACACTGCTAATCATCTGTAAACTGACACAGTTTTCGACTATCCATATATTAAATGGAAACAAGTATAGAAGTAGCTGTAAAGTTGAAAAGAATCAGACACAGTATTGTATAGAAAATGCTTCAAAACCACTTGGGTATGTAGAACATGCACAACGTTAAAATCTAAATTTTTCATCCCAATCCTGCAGCAACAGCTCATGACACCATCAAATGGATCAGTCACATCGGCAACAAGGACATGCTGTTTCTCCTGCTTGTTGTTTCACAGTAGATTATGTGATTTTTGGGCATTGTGCCATTTCTTTCCAAATGAGTGAACACTGTGTTATTGTGTCTCTTGTTCTAACTCAAGGGTGTGTGTGTGTGTGTGTGTGTGTGTTTGCTCCATATTGCTGTGTCCTGGTTTTCATCTTGTTCCGGCTCATGTTTCGCCTGGACCCGCCCCTGTCCCACTTACTCTAAAAACCAAGGGAGGCGAGTGCAGATTTGGAAATAAATTATTAAGTAGCAATTGGATTAAAATACTGGGAGTGATCCCCCCCTCCTCCATATCACTCCATTTATATTTCACAGATGATGTATGGATGATACATTTAATTTTGTGTGCATACAAGTGTGAGTCTAACCATCAGTTAAATGGATAGCATCCCCTATAGGGAGCTATTTGTGGGATTGCCTGGCTGGGGATCCTCATTTAAATAACAGAACAAATATTCTTCATGTATATAACATGAAAAAATCTTCATGTATATAACAAGATAGAATAAATATTCCATTGTGGAAAATCAAGTACATTCGTCTTTCTCTCTCGCTGTTCTAATTGCCATTAAATTGTGCCTTCCTTTCTCACATTTTACTTCTTTAAGGTCTCTATTTTGCAATTTCACTTCCCTATGATCTGTTTTTATTGCATTATGCTAGCCATATCTGTTCATGCCTCTATTAGAGAATTGCATTTGAGTGTGGTTCTAGTCACACTGTTACTAAAATCAAGTGCTGTATGAGCCACAGCTGTTTATCAGCAAATCAGTAGAGAATGTGGATCAGTGAATTAGGTTTAAGCACCTCGGTAGACAGAGAGTGTGTGTGAAGAAATCAATCTAAATATACTTCAGAGAGCACTAGGAGAGAGACAGTAAAAAAAGAAAGACACACAAGGAGTAGGTTGCCCCCTTGTGTTGTGATAAGCTCTACTCCACCCAAAAACAGGACAAGGTCATCAGTATCTCATCACATGAGGTAGGATGTATTGTGTGGACTGCAGAAGTGGGAGTGGCCCCCAGAGAGGGTACAGTGGGTTGGGCAAGGCTGAAAACAAAGGTCAGGCTCTCTGTGGGACGTGGGGGTGGAAGAGAAGCAGGCACTGCTGCTAAAATGGATCTGTCATAGTAAATATGCTGCTGCAGCACTGCATTACCAATGCATGAGCAGCCCAACTGCAACCCTGCACAGCCTGGTCTGGTATAGGAGTGGCACAGGAGTGTGGTTTGTGTTTGCTTGGCTGAGTTTGTGCCTTTGTTTTGGGCCTGTCACTATGATCTGACCTGATGTGTTGAGAGAGATAAAAGGGGTAAATGAAACAGAAGAGAGTAAAAATAAGTAAAAATGTGAAGGTGGGTAGGAAATCCAGTGTATCACTTTGTATACTCTCTCATGCCTCTTTAAGAATAAACCCACAGGCTCCTGCATTAGTGTGTGTGTGTGTCTGTGTGTGTGTGTGTGTGTGTGTGTGCGTGCGCATATGCATGCCTTATGTCTACGTCTGAGATGGTGTTGCTATGGAAACGAGAGAGCTATGCAGAAGGAGAAAGGACTCTCCTTGGAGCATGTTCAGATAGCACCCTTCCCCCATCTCCTCACACAGTTGATGAGTACAGTACACACCCTTATAACACACACACTGGCTCACTAGCACATGCACACTGATGCCTATGCAAAGGACTAGCATGTATTCATAACTGTGGAGGAGATACAGAAGCTAATCCACTGACTATATGTGGTGGAACCCCTTTAATAATACAGTGAGAACAACTATAACACTGCTGCCGACTGCTTCCGCCCATGCCGCCCCCTCCTCTCACCTACCGCTCTCACCTCCCTTTGATCGCTCTGTTCTCAGTGCTCTGTGCTTTCTCCTTTAACTTCATTACATGATATGTAATCACTCACACAGAAGCAGCTTCACAGGCACACACATCTGTATTATTCACAGCTCCCTGTGTTCAGGGAGAAAATATTGTGTATTTTTCTAACCACCATGAATTCACTATAAATTATTCAGTAAAATCAATTATCATACCTTGAGGAAATGTGACTTTAATAAATGCACAAAGAGTTTGTAAATAAAACTGAAATACTGTCTTTATGAGGAATTGGTTAATCAACTACAGTCTTATCAGTAAAAAAACACACATGCATCTACATGTGTATGTGCAAGTTACCATTTAGTGTTCTGGATTAGGGTCTACAGGGAAGTTAAGTTATTAACTGACCTTCGGCAGATGGTTCCTAAAACAGCTGTATCTAGCACTGGAA